AGGAAACTTCCGCCGCCGGCTTGCCCGGGAACTGCTTGTAAGGCACTTGTTACTAGTAGCGATGCACTTGTTCCTAGTAGCTTCTTGTTACAAAAAAAAGAATTAGCACTTTGATCGAAGTAAGCTTCGTCGAACTCTCAAAGATCAACGTGTTGCACCGCCGTTGCTACGCCATCACTACACCAAACAAAAGGGCATGCTTTTGTCGAGCAAAAGCGCTGAGATGCGCTGAGCAATCTCGGCACGGTCGCAGTTTCGACACGAAAAACTCCTCATCATCCCTGAGCGCTGGCTCCGCAAACTTCACGGTCTCAGTTGGCGGGATGCCAGTTTCTCAGCTTCGCCACCACAACCAGACTTGAAACAAGCAGTAGACACAGCATGTGCGACTTGGGAGGAGAGTGTGTTGCACCACGTTGGGATCCTTCGATTTAGAAAAAGCAGGATCTCATGTTTTTTTCAAACACGTAAAGTGCTGGGGCTGGAGCGTAGCCACAGCGGGAGACAGCTTCCAGAACCACTTCCTCTGAGCTGTCGGATAAGGTTACGCGGAGAAGAGTTTGTAGACAATCAGAAAAATGGGCAGAGTCCATCGTCATCTCTCTTTCGGACTACCAGTGCTAAGGCCAGTACTATCAATGTGTTCACTTTCGCATGATCGATTGAAACCGCTGCTTTGCTCGCTAGCTTCCCCTTGCCCTTGGAGCCTTCTCTCCCTTCAGTTCCACTGATGCACAGTGCAACGCGCTGGGGCAATTGCGAACTGCCTGCATCCAAATTGAACAATAATTCTAACTTGCAATCCACGGGAAATGACAGTGCTTGCGTTCTTTGCGTTTCTACTTCTCCATAATTCGCCTCCAACACCAGCGACTTGTTCTGCCGGAGCTTGGCGTCGGCGTAGGCCAATGCCTCCGGGCTAGTTGCCACGGCCTTTTGTACCACTTCGAAATCCGCCCGCAGCCTCCGCGCGATAAAGGGAAAGAAAGAAACACTCGAAGGCTGCAGATTCGCTTGCACCAGAAGTGAAAGGTCGAACTGACGAAGGATCTCAAGTTGCTTTCGCTGGCATCCACTCTGCCTTCTTATCTTCCAGAGTTTGGGCTGTGCCTGGGGGATGCATATTGCAATGCATAGCCAGAAGCCTCCACGGCAGCCAATACGATGTCACCTTGACTGTCAATACGAAAGCAAAGACCTAGAAGACAGCAAATTAAATGCTGTGCAACTGTCATCGAGCTTGTGGCTTATAATGCCAGGAGCTGGCCTCCAACCTAATAGCGATGGCCTCCAACCCAGCTTCTTGTTGCGATATCTAAAATAGAACAAAATTCCCACCAGCTTCTTGCTGCCAAAGCTGCGGTTGTCGCACAGGGCGCTGTCATTTGCCAACGTTGACGGTCGGCACCGGACTTTCTCCTGGGTGGGCAAAAGGAAAAGGAAAGTTGGGACCTCAAAGCTAAGTGGGCGGAATGAAACCTAGTAGTGATCTTGCTCCTAGTAGCGATGCCCTTGTTACTAGCAAAAGACAAGTATTTTGGTCCGGCTCCATGAAATAGAATGAAATAGACGGATTGGTCCTCTAACGAATGTCCCTCAGTCTCAAGAGACGCGGTCTCCTCAGTCTGTCAACACGAGACAATCACATCGTTCTTCGTTGTTTCGGAGCTCTTCTTTCGGCTTCGTTGTTTCACTGGGTCGGCATTGTGCCTTCTTGAGACTTCTCAACTTCGTCCTTAATGGACTGAACCATCCTTTATGAAATCAATCGCTCATGTTTCGAGCCGTATCCGGTATACCAAAATAATTCTTTGTTACTAGTAGCGATGCACTTGTTCCTTGTAGCTTCCTACCCCCCCCCCGCGCGCGAAAAGGTCCTAGTAGATTCCTTTGCTAGTAATTACAATTCGAATTAAATTCGTAACTTGTTACTAGTAGTAAGGCACTTGTTTCTAATAGCGAACATTGTTACTACTAGTAAGGCACTTGTTACTAGTAGCGATGCACCTGATTCTGTTGATCCGGAGACTTGGGTCTGATGGCAAACTGAAAGCAGCTGGCTTGAAATTCCCACGCTCTGGCCACTGGGACACCAGCCTTCATGGAAAACTGGTCCTGCAAAGTCCAACCAAGCAAGAGAAGACTGACAAACGAAAGGCAAAAGAACGTTGAATGACAGAAAGCAAGAAAGCAAGCACAGCAAGGAAAACAATGAAGGGAAAGGGAAAGGAAACTGAGAAAAGAAAACAAAAACTAAAAACAAAGAGCCGCGGTTCCTCTCGGAAGAGACCATGACCGAAGAGCAAGTTCTCGGAGATGGCCTGGCATCAAATCTCATCTGAAGTGAACATATTGATTGGCACTATTTCGCAGGGGGAACTTTGCTCTGGAAAAGCATGATAGAACTGATTGGGGAGAGAGGTCCGGGTATGCTGTTTGGGCTAAAGGTTGAGGAGGCACAGGGAAAGGAATTGTACGGAAGAAAAAAAGAAGGAACGATAATATCTGGCATAACATCTGGAGACCCCAATCTGGCAGGTGGCGGAAAGGATTGGGCGGTGAACACGAAGACAAACAAGGTGGGAAGAAAAGGAACTCTTGCACGGCTCGCTCATAGACTTGTCCACACGGCACAGTCCTCAGAGCCTCTGTCCAAAGCTCTCCGTGGACTGTTGGCATTCATCCTCAAGAGATGTAGCTTCCACCACTGTCTGATCTCCCTGTTGTTTTAATCTTTTCTTCGGTATACACTGCCTCTTGTGAAGACCAAAGAACGACACACAGTTCTCAACCATCGACTGTCAATTTGTAAGAATTACTAAGCCTCACACAGATTCGCCCATCGCCATTAGGGGATACTTCCAAGGTGAGGAGTTCTAAACTCTAGGCATTGATTTCCGATGCTTTGTGTTGATTTGATGTGTTTCCAAGGGTCAATAAAAGGGGGAACACTTCGCAACTGGGATTCGCTTTGCTGCCTTAAGCCCTTGTGGGTACTTGCTTTTGTTAGGGTTTTGAATCTTCCGAATGGTCTTCCACTCTTCCACACAATTTGCTGATTTGCTACTGTGGTCCTCCCTTGACCTTGGTGCTAAATATTTTGCTGACTGTCCAAGCCTTGAGCCATAAATGTGATGAAATGGAAAGAACTAACTACTACTATACTACTGTCTAATGACTTAGGCCAACGTGATGCAAGTGACATACCAATCTGGCTACCCCCCAGGACTAAGTCATGTGCCCTGACATATCGAGCTAAAAAAAAGGTCTGGGTTGGGAAACCTGGTGTCATAGGACCTGTGGACACCTCCTCGACAAAAAATGTAAAAACACAGCTAAATAATGCTAGATACCACTGCCTGGCACCCTGGTGACACAGTGGTGACATAGGGTGCGACTATGTGTTTTTGCGGGCGCTGTTTCCTTGAATACCTCATACATATTTCTATGAATATCATGGTTGTGGCCTGATGACATAGGCCTTAAGAGGAAATGCCAATGTTGGATCAATCTTGATGACATAGGCTTTTGGAATTGGCGCGTATGTCCGACAAGTCCTAAGTTACTAGTCAGTAGTATATATACAAAAAAAACAGTGATTGTCCACCACAAGAGTTGGTCTTGATGAAGAAAATTATGCTCAGTGTATGAGAAACCATTGGAAGTGGGGGGGGCATACCTTATTTGATGAAATAACACATGAACTCAAGTTTGCGATGGGGTTCTTTTGAAAGCAGGGTACCACTCAAAATTGCCGTCTGAGAAAGGGTGGTAATATTTCAAACCCATGGACGTTGGGGCACTATTTGGTGGTTCATGCCATTTAGCAAGTGGTTAGTAACCTTTGATAATACATCCCTGGCTCCTGGGTAACTTTCCTTACAACTGGGTCAAAGCCGCCCTCAATTGTCAACCAGTTGCCAATGAGGTGAGCCGCCAACGAACCATCCGTGGACAAACCCATGTGGTCACCCACTACGACAATGGTCACTTCACTGGGTTTCTTTTCGGCTGGTTATGCGTTTGCTCTGTCTCACGAGCCATCAACGAATGAAGTTCCATGCGATGGTGAGGCCCTTGTCAGCTGAGCATTTTGGACGGTAAAATCAAAAAATGATAGGGTGCTGGTATTTACACCATTCTGGAGGCACCTTCAGCACTTGGGCAAGTGAGGTGGGGACGCACTGATACTTACAAACAAAAAAGTTTCGCTAGTGAATAGCGGGGGCTGGGAATTGGGAGGCATGACAAGAAGCTGTTCGAATCGGAGTATCCGTTGAGTAGTTGGGACAGGGGACAGAAGGGAAAGGGATAAGTGTTTGTTATTAGTTCACTCTATGTTTGTCTTTTTGTTTTCTGCTTTTCAGTTGTCTCGCTCTTTATATATGTTGTTTTCTTTTCGTCTCCTCCTTTTCTATCCTCTGCTGAGTCCCCAGACGCTACAACAACTCCTGATGAGGAAAATAAGTCTTGTTTACAATGTGTGTGATAACTGTCTGTCGCCATGGTTGTCGTTTCCCAAACTGCGCTATTGCTTCTCATCTCCTTTCTTGCGCGTTCCTCTCCCCTTTTTACTTTTGTGTTCCTTTCTCTTGCTCTTCGCCTCAAAGAACTTTAGAAAGCTATGGTTGTGTCAGATGGCTCAAGCATGAGTTGCGCGTATTGCGTTGTGTCTGGGATTGCGTTTGGCTCTGTGTTTTCAAGCGGCGTGGCTGGCCTTGCCTGTAGGCGCCTACTTAAATTAGTAAGGGAGAAATGCGCTCCTAGCTACTTAAGCTACTACATATGGACGCAGGATAGCTCAGGCTTTGCACTAATGATGTGGTCCCTAGATTTTTGGGGAAACTTAACTTTCTTGGTTGATTACAAAGCCACCCGTGCTCAAAGAACTAACTGTGCGCACCGCTCACCTCTGCGGCTGTGGGCACGCATGATGTCAAGTACGTGTGGACGTCATCGTATTCATGAATGGGACTTCGAAAAGGAAGTCAGCGAAACCCTTTTGTCGGCTGAAAATCAGCTAGAAACAAACGGCCTGGTTTTCAGGTCCAGCCACTGTGCTCCACGACTAACACCGTCACCCATCAGCATCGGGACGACATGCGAAATTCATAAGGCATTCTTGCGTGCATTGATTGCACGCACCCTGCTCGTAAAGGTGACTGTAACCTCGTGCAAGTCCTAGAGCCTTCCTACCAAGCCTGTCAGGCGACACTAAGGCAGATGAACTCACCAGACATGTATCCAAATCTTTGAAGTAGTTCACCATCCACTTTTGGTCTTTGATTCCATGGTGCATCACCGGCCCAATGGAACTCCCATGGTTGTCCAAATAAACGCCATCATCCACGAAGAAGTTCATCCGCGGCCACACCGACAAGACGCAGGCGCTTCGGCCCGGGCGACACAGCCGACCCAATTTGGTGCCATCCAAACGAAAATTCCGCGCGCGAAGAGCTTTTGTCGCCTCTTTAATAAAGCGCCAGTAAGGCCGAAGGTCCTCCACACTGGCCTAAACAGTTGGTTGTTTCTAAAGGCAAAGAAAACCAACATCCAGTTCAAAAGACCTACAACATGTCTGTCTTCATCGCAAGAATGTGAAGTTTGTGAAGTTTGGACGGAACCAAAGCAGCCTTTTTGAGTCAACAAAATCTCGGGCACAATTAGCAGAATCGGCCAAAAACAAGCTAAAATCATGAAGAACAACACCAAATAATAACTTGTGAGTTTTGCCCAGTGGCAGTGAGATTGGCATAAAGCTGTTGCACCAAAAGTGTCTCTGGCAACTCCAACATCTCCAGTAACGCCAAGTGCAGGGCTCCATTGTCAGCGCTGCTGAAGCCCGGAGGGAAGCGGAATCGAAAATGGGTCCAATGTCGCAGAAACTCCAGCACCCAAGGCTCGTTCACAGCGATGTAATTCCCTGCCATTGAAAAAAGAATGGCCACGACTTGAAGTGTTTATTTGCACCTTTCTGCATCCAATTTCAGGGGCTCAAAAAAGATCAAAAAAGGACATGTCAATATGGATGGCTCAGGAGATAGAAAGTACGCCCAAAGTCCCAATTTTGACTACCCATTTCGCGGATCTAACCTGGAATTTGGACCCCTACTTGGTGGTTCATCCCAATTTCAATAACCGTATGTCCGTGAGTCCATGATTCCAGGAATATTCCCCATATGCTACTAGGAACAAGAAGCTACTAGGAGCAAGGGCATCGCTACTAGGAGCAAGGA